ATTTATAAAAAAACATAAATGTGTAAATGAAACAATTTTCTTTAATTCATTGTTGTGAATTACTTTTTAATTACCAGAAGTGAAACAATTTTTTAAAATTTCATTTCTAAGTCACTTTTCTAACTTTTCAGTACTCAGGAAAAATGGATCCTTGTAGATTTGTTGCTGTCACCAGTGCTACAGCTGCAAAAGTTTTCAATATTTACCCCAAGAAAGTAAGTTTGTCATCTTTTTATATTTTTTTTTTGGAGTTAGAAGCTATTTTTTGTTAAACAGTTTGCAAATTATTGGAGCTTGGATTACGTAAAATCTGATTTAATTACTGACTGACTTAATAACTTGACCAATGCTGATCTGTACCTTCTGTGCATAAGCAAGTCATTACCTACATATTGACAGTAAGAGCTGAATTCTGAAATCCACAGAGAAACCTGCTCAAATCAGTTTACCCAGTGTTCACACTATCATCAGACAACACTAACTTCCTTGGCTTGGTCTTATCTGTAGGGGAAACTGAGTCGTCCTATGAGATAAACATTAGATGTTCTATGACTGAAAGTAGCCAGTTATTCAACTAATGCTGACCAGAAAGCTAATCCCTACATCCTCCATTCCAATAATAAACAAATACAATATTTATGCAGGATGTCATATACACTATTTGTGCTGGATATTTTAAAGAAATGAACTGGAAGAGTGTTTTTGATCACGTATTTTGTGATTTATTTACATTTGTCAGTTTGCATTTATGTTATAAACATAATAAAACATGTTGAAAGTCATCAATTCATTGACTTAACATGTTTATTATAGTCAAGTTCCCCTTTCAGACCTTGCAATCCATAGGGCAGATGATGTTAAGGTCATCTGTTTCTTTGGCCACCTTGACCCCTAAGATGTTAAGAATAAGTTTAAAAATTAAAAAAAGAAATTTAAATTAACAGAAGTGCAACATTTGTAAACTCCCAACTATCAACTTAGACGGTAGTTCAAAATGACATTTGTTTGTTTAACTTAACAGGGTAGAATCGCTGTTGGCTCTGATGCTGATATTGTCATTTGGAACGGTGAGGCCACCAGAACCATCAGTGCCAAAACACACCACCAGGCAGTAGACTTTAACATTTTCGAAGGCATGACAGTACATGGTGTACCAGAATACGTCATCACTGGAGGGAGCATTGTTATGGATGAAGGCCAGGTACGTTTTTGAAACTTAATGCCAAAATTATATTCTTGATGTAAAAAAAAAAGATGTTTATATCACAAGCACTTTAGGGGTGGCATAACCTTTAAACCTTGTTTACAAAGAAATTTGCAGCTAGAATGATGTCATTCAGTAGTATCTTGTAGCAGTGCTAAGAAGACAAACACAAAAATCATGTTGCTTCCTATCCTTTGTCTAGAAATATTGAGGAAACACCAGACAAGGAATAGTTCAAAAGTGATGCTGGCATAGTATCAAAGTTCATTCAATTCAATGTCTTCATTTAATTATTCCCTGTTTAATGAATTAGCCAATCTGTTTTATATGAATTCAATATTTTGATTCAAACTTATAATTACTCTTGTTACATTTATTTCATTATATTGTTTGTAGTTTCCACCCAAGGATTTTTTTGGGGGGTTTATTCATTGCTTTGTGTTTTGTCTTGTAAGGACAAAGAATCTGCACATTCAAATCTATCATCACAACAGGAAGTATGCACTGTTAAGCATCGTTAGATCATTTCTGCTTTGTAATTATTTGCAACAATATGTGTTATAATACCATGTCAGATTATATTATACATTGACCATTTAAAGCTTATCATGTTTACATTGGTTAATTTATTATCTATCTATTACCCACAGCTAAAGGTGACCCAAGGTCTGGGAAGATTTGTACCAACACCTGTCAACTCTCAAACTGTCTTTGGTCGTGTTGGAAACCGAGAAAAGGTCAGCACTAACTTTTATTCTCTGATAATTTTCTAGCTTTTGTTTAAACTCTAAAGTAAGATGAACTTTGTTCACTGCTCAGTCATTTGTTCATCTGACTGGGCTTGTTAGTGACATTTTAAATTATGTCATTGGGTTTCCTTCTTGTGCTCTGAAAATTTTATTCAATCTGACATTTTTTAACATTTGCATAATTAAATAAGCTTTTTTTTCTATTTCAATATTTTATTGCAAGTAACTATTTTTTATGACAGGAGAGATTCTCTTAATAAATGCTTCATTAAAATAAATTTATTTCAATTCTTTAGTCCCGACAACCTCAAATAGTTGAGAGAGAGCCCTACACTGGACCAGTAGTAGAAATCAAGGAAGAAGATGCACCAGTATATAATAAGCGGTCAGACAACCCCATCTTACCTGAGAGTGCTAATGAATTCCACAGCCGGCCACCAACAAGAGGAGGGGCCCGTAACATGCAAGATTCATCATTTTCCCTTAGTGGTGAGCTTAAAGTTACTGCCCTTCACATTGGCCTATTTTTTTATTATTTTTTTTTTAGTTCTAAGACTTAAAAAAAAACTTTGTTGCATTCATTCTGTGGCCAAGTACAACCAAGTCATTTCTTTTATAAGTTAAAATAATATAATAATATATTTCAAATATTTTGCACCACTGACTCATGTTTACTTTAAACAAAAAAATGTATAAAAGAAAATCTAACATACAAGTAATCCTTCCCCCCCCCCCCCCCATCTTTTTGAATCAATACTAATAATATTTATAAGCCAACTTATTTGTTAAAAAGAATATCACTGTCTTTGTTTGAAAGTTTAACTATAAACTAACAAAATGTTCACAGGTCATCAATACGATGAGAATCAACCCAAACGACCTGGAACAAAGGTGTCCAACCCACCAGGAGGAAAATCTACAGGCTTTTGGTGATCTATTGCAGCATCTGATTAGCTGTATCAGCTGACGATATTGTCACCATCTCAAACTCATATAAGTTGTTGTTTTTTTGTTTTTTTTTAAATTCTCTCTCCCTTCAAATAGTGCTTCAGTATCATGTTGCTATCCTTGTAGGTGACTGTTTCATCATGATGGTTTTTGTGATGGGTACGATTGGTTATGCTGGAAGACATCTGTAGTGATATTCAGGAGTGCATGGAACTTAGTCTTAGTAGATTTGTGTCAAGTTACAATTTGAATGTAGATAACTAAAACAAGGGATTGAGGTTTGCTTTGATGTCTGATTTTTTTACTTTTCATACTGATATTGTATAAATCTAGTTTTTTGTTTTTAATGGGAACACATTGAAGCTAATTGTTTCCTTTTAAGTTAATCCTAGCCCAAATCATTGTACACAAAGCTTTCAGTCTTACCATTTGTATTTGGATAGCCAGCTGTAGAATAACTGAATGAGAGTTCAACTTCTCTAAAGACTTCTTGTAAACATTCTCTTTGACTGCTGACAGAAAGATGATGTCTTGAAATGATCACAGACTCATTACTTGATCTCCTTTAATTTTTTTTTGTGTGTAAAAATGTCCAACCTTCATTTATTCTGAATACTTGTATTTATAATGTTAAGAGCCTTATAGAAATCCTAGACACATGTCCCCCCCCCCCCCCCCCCCCACCCCCAAACTAGAATTTATGACTTTTTTTTTTTTTAACTTTAGTTGATCTAGCTTAAAAGTTTTATTGGGAATATTTCAGAAAACATTGTCAGAAAACTTTGAATGTAAAAAAAAAAAAAGTCTCCTAGTCTGTTCAATAAAACCCATCAAAATTTTTTTGATTTTATTGTAGAGTCTGCAAAGTTTCGTAATTAGGCTGCAAGTTATCCTAAGCTGGGTTTTGTAAATGTAGAAGTTTGAGATTTTTTGTAATGGGCAGAAGTCAAACCACTTTAACTTTGTTGTGATTTCACACCAGGCCATACAACTTGTTCAATTGAATCTTTTTTTTTTGTTTGTTGGCATGTCTCATTTCTTTAGTGATAGCATTTAACCTTTTACAATTGTATGATTGTTTTGTTTTTATCTGGCACAAGTATTTGTGTTCGGATATTTTTTTTTTAAGATTTAGTTTTTATCTTATCTACACATAAATCTCTTTTGTATTTATATATATTGAAATGTAGAATGTTATATTCATATTTCCTAATATCTCTTTGTGTCACATTTTACCTTGTTCAAACATGAACCTTTCAGAGTTTTGTTTTTGTTTTAGAATTTTATTGTAATGTCCTCAGCACATATATGCTATACTAAAGTACTATCAACTGTAAATTAATTCATTTTTTTAAGGTTTGTATTCATTTAAATAAAATCTAATATACAACTAGATGTTATGTTTCTAAAAATGATTTAGTTTAAAAGAATAAATATACATAACAGCAATGTAATACTTAACCTTAACCAAGTCTAATATGTTCATTGGAATATTTCTTTCAGAGATGCAATATTCTTGTTTGTATTTGTACCTGTTTTGTCATGTGTTGTTTGTTTAGAGAATCTTTAACTAATTTTTTTTTTCACCATTCTCTTAATTCATTCAATTTTTTTTTTTTTTTTTTTAAATGACACCAGAATAAAGAAGGGGGAAGTAAACTCATCTTTTTGTGTCATAATAGTGATCTATTTTTTATTTTATTCAATAATTTTTATTTTTTTTTAATTTGTTTACATTGCTAGGTCAACAAATAAATAATATTTCTGTCATTTTGTTTTATTTAAGGAAAAAAAAGGATTTTAATTTTTTTTATATAGCATTTTATCTGATGTGCTGACATAAGAGGGGAGATAATGTGTAAAGGCAGCATACGACACTGGACTTAATTCCCTTTACTCATCTTCAAACATTTCATTCTCCCATTCAGCAAATAATTGGTCAGCCTTAAACTAGAACAATTGACTGCTACAGCACTGCCATACCATGGGACTGATAGGTGTAGGTTATAGGAACATAATATTGAGTGATAAAATGAGATCTAATGTTGAAAAGGGAATGGACTTTTTGTTCATTTCTCCTAAATACAAGTGGAAACATCTTTTTTTTTTTTTTTTTTTTTTGTGTTACCATCTTGTGGCATGTATATGAACTATTACACTTATATTCAGTTGTGAAGCCATTTTGCTTTAATGAACCTTGTAACAATTGTTTCATTGCTTTTTTGTATGTTAAATATACAAACAATTTCAGTGTATCGGGTCTTGGCTATTGAATAGATCAATTTTGCATTAGTTTATCTACATTCCTGTCTTATCAAATTGAGCATTCGATGTATTTTGAAACTGAAAGCGATCTAGACCTTCTCTTATTTGGCTTACACAAAAGGTTGTTAGGGCTTCTATCTTCAATGTCTGTAATAAATGTCTCGCTTCCAACAGAATTATTGCTTTTTGTGTTGAGTTTTTTTGTTTTTTTTTTCAAGTTTTTTTTTTAAATCTTCCTAAAAACCTCATTATATTTTAAAATTGCTTAAAAAAATTAATTACCTTTTAAAATGTCCATATTGAGGTATTGCAGCATGGGGGGGGGGGGGGGGGAGGAGATAACTCAATAGAGACCAGTTTCACTAGGGGTTCATCTCTACTTACTGTAGTAGAACAACATAGTAAAACGCAGTAGACAGATTCAAATATCTTGGCAGCACACTCTCCAGAAATGGAAAAATCGATAGTGAAATCGACCTGCGTATCGCCAGTGCATCCTATGGCAGACTGTCTACAAATGTCTGGAACAGACGTGGTATCACCACAAACACAAAGCTACGGGTTTATAGAGCCGTCATCCTCCCCACATTGCTTTATGCCTCAGAAACGTGGACAGTGTAAAGAAAACATGCAAAGAAACTGAGTCACTTCCACATGACATGTCTAAGAAAAATACTGAATGTCAAATGGCAAGACAAAATACCAGATACTGAAGTCCTTCGAAGAGCGTGTGTGCAAAGCATTCATTTAATACTGATGCAGTCCCAGCTGCGATGGGCAGGACACGTCTGTAGAATGGAAGACCACTGCATCCCTAAACGACTCTTGTATGGCCAACTAAGCGAAGGAAAGCGCTCGCTTGGTGGTCAAAGAAAGCGATTCAGGGACACCCTCAAAATTACTCTGAAGGCGTTCAGCATAGATCCAGGCACCTGGGAGACAGAGGCACATCATGGCGTTGCGATGTGAAAACTGGCGCACAGGTTGCTGAGGAAAAGAGAACAACGCTGGCAGAAGAAAAACGCCAGAGAAGAAAAGCAAGGCCCACGACACTAGCTCCAGCTGGAATAACTTGCCCAGTGTGCAGCCGAACAATCCGGGCTCACATAGATCTCACCAGCCATATGAGGAGGCATTCAACCCCAGTGCAAAGCTCTCAGCCCCTGGATGACAAAGTGGTCATCATCGAATTATGATATTTAAAAAAAGTAGAACCAACTAGATTTGTAAACATTTTATTTGTTTGGTCCAATCTGAACTTCAAGTGGTGGATTGTTTCCAGATTTTGACTTATCAGCAGTACTTCTTACTGTCTACTGCAGGTCAATAAATTGCTGCCCCTGAAATCCTTTTACAAACTTTGTTCAGCAGGTTAGAAAGTAAAGAAGGGAAATTACCTACAACATTGAATGACTTCTTGAAACTTATTTCTTTGATGTGGCAGCTGGTCAACCTGCACAGGTTCATCAAGAATTCAGTTGGTAGAACTAACAAGTCAACTGTCTTAAAAGATTTTTTTTTTACTTTACTTCTAAATAGGGGTGGCTGGGTGGTAAAATGCTGGGGTTCTGAACCAAGGGTCTCGGAGTCAAATACCAGTAATGTTTAAAATTCTTAATTTGAGGAATTTCAAGATGCTTCTGAGTCAACTCAACTGTAATGGGACCTGGTGATCTGACATTAGTTGGGGAAAGTAAAGGCATTTGGTCATTATGCTGATCACATGACACCTTTGTTAACCATCAGTCATAGAAACAGATGACCTTTACATCATCTGCCCTATAGATCTTACTAACAAGGAATGACTAACAAAAGCTTTTTCAATAATCTACGCCAACTTAGACTTTCTTACAGACGTAGATCCTTCTGCTCATTGGGCTGTCTCCACAAAGATTTGTCACTGGCAATGTCTGAAGCCTCTTCCACGCCAATTATTTAAATTGTGTGTGTGCTATGAATGGCATTAGCTCTGATCGGAAAGCAGCTAATCTATACATGGAATGGCCATTGCTGGTACAGTTAGGGATCAGTGGCGTTGAGGCTCTATCAGGGTGTAGCACTGTACTTCAAGCTGCCTAACGGTCCTGATTGTAACTCAGGCTTGGCTTTTTCAGAGTGGTAGACAACGTGTGGAAATTTGCAATGTTTTACTTTTTCTGAGTAAAGTATTTGCATTCTGAATGAAGAATCTGAAGAGCAAATTTCACTGAAGACTGCCACATGACAACCTGCTGGTTGAAAGAGACTTCTTGTAACTATTTGGAACTGATGCATAGGTCAGTTATTTAGGTAGAGAAAATAGAGTGTATTGATACATTCAATATCTCAATTAGATAATAGTGGATAATTAAAATTATTAATAAAAGTGAAGAAATCATAAGATACAGGTACTAATTATTTTAAAAGATTTTACAAGAATAAATAACTACCACAAGTTATTGTTTTTTTTTCCACTATTACATTAGCTACAAATGTTGTGACTAAAAGTATTGTCATGTTATTTAATGTAAGTTAGCCAAAGTTTTGACCTAATTGATTGATATTTCTTTTAACAAATTTCAATGCTTTCAAGGCAAATGTGATTGGTTTTTTTCTTTTATACCAATGTTGGTACAAGTGCCAAGGCTCTTCAGAGCACTTCCAAAAAGTGTGCCACAGACTTATGGTTCCAAATGTTCCAAAAAAAAATAAAATCAAAGCAGTGGTGTAACTAAGTTTAAGTTATAATGGTTCATTGAACAAACAAAAGTCCAAATACTGGATACAATAGAAACATCAACCTTTTATTATGACAACAAAACCCTCAAGTAGTTTGACATATTTAACCACAGCCTCTGAGGCTACTGACAGTGCAGTAAAATCAAGCAATAGTAGAAATGTCTGGACACATATTGACATTAGAACAGCCTGTCATTGTGTAAGGACTAAACTGTACTAAAATGAATTCAATCAACTTTCTTAACATATCAGACCTAACAAAAAACATTTCTTGGCAGTGTGATAAACAAATAAATACCCAAAGTCTACCTTACACTAACCTTGATTTTATAACACTGTGGCATTAAGTTACTTCTTTTATTCCCCCTGAATAGCATTGCTATAGAATTAAGTCTGGCAGAAACCAACACAGGATTGACTGACATTAAGTTAAGACTCCAGCAGTATGGGGGGAAAAAAATCTTTGTAAATTTCTTTCTAACAACAAATGGTCACTTGTTAAACAAGTGGAAACATCAAATAATATGTACAAGTAACATGTTTGTCTATCATACATCTACAAAGGAAAAAAATCATTTAAATCTCCCCCCCCCCCCCCCCATTTCTGCTGCAGCATTGTACAGCAGAAGTAGCTCCTCCTTCAAGGTCAAGGTAAATCTCATTTCCTATGAAATGGAAAATGGCTGTTGGGACCGAGCTTTACTTTGTAAAGCGGCTTACATTAAAGAGTTTCGGTAGGTTGGGCCTATTGCAACATCGTTCTACCTTTGTATTAGTGCTGGCATGTCATGCAAACTTTACACTATTTATAAGTTTCAATTGTTAAAGATAAAACATTAACTTAACATCTATTAATATTTCCTATAAAACAGTGGTACCATGATTCAGTGCAGTATTTGACCTGGCTATTCAGACCCAGCTGTAACTCACTTCCCTTCCAACACAGACAAACCAAGTGCCTGCTGGGAACAAAGAACCTGACACTTGTGTGCAAAGTGTAATGCATCACAGAACATCTGTGTTTTTACTAATTAGTTTTCTTTACAGCATGAAATCTATGAAATCAATAGCAAATAGAAAATTGAAAAAAAAAAAAAAAAAGATGTTAAGTTATTCCAGCATATAAAGATAATGTAAGTAAGAAAGAGAGATAAATAGGAATAAATTTAAAGATTAAATATGGCAACACCAGTTAGAATTCAATTACCACAGATATATACAAGTGTCACAAAATGTACATAGATAAATCTGTTTTAAAAAAGCATTAACAGATCACTAGAAATGTAAATGTAGTCCAACAACATTCATGCTAACATAAAGGATGAAACAGATGCTAGTCAACAAATAGAATACACAGTATATGAATTGGGTTTGGAAAAGTCATACAGTTCTGACTCTTGGGTAGTTAATGTGAGACAAGGTCATTACCAAGCCACTAGTTGTCCTATGCTCCATTGCTAGGTGAAACCCCAGTGAGAATTCTGTTATTTCTATTTACTTCACTTGCTAATTATGGTCCTCTGGTGCAATCACAAGTAGTGCATCATATGGTCTTCTAGTGTAACTACCAATATTGCACCATACGGTCCTCTGGTGCAACCACCAGTAGTGCATCATATGGTCCTCTAGTGTAACTACCAATATTTCACCATATGGTCTTCTAGTGCAACTGTCAGTATTTATTCCATCAATTTTAATTGCAGCACTAAGCATCTATTTCCTAATTATGTATCGGAATCGGAAACCAATAAATTAACATATATTATGGCATCATTTTGATCTATGGCCAAAGTTTCTGCAGAAAACAAGATCCAAGAGGCAAAGAAAAAGTTTACCTGAAATTCAAAATCCCAGTCTTCACCGAGATTCGAAAACAGGACCTCTGATTCAGAAGCCAAGCATTTTATCACTCAGCCACACGCATCCATGTGAACTCTTGCATTCACACCCAAACAGTTATTCACTAACGAGAATAGATTCCTGGGGATTTTTATAATCAACACAGCGAATTTCATTCTACCTACACTAATGACAATAAAAAAGTACAATTGCACAGAACATTGGCATTGACTATACAATTTAATTCTATGATAATATGATATACTTTCCAAAAAAAAAAAAAAAAATTACCAAAATAAGATCACAGAAAAAGTCATTTTAGGATTTTGAAAATTAAAATTAAGTCAATAGGTCTTAAATATCTTTTAAATTTTTTAATGTGGCTACTAAGAGCCGGGTTTGAAGCAGTTAAAAGTTACAGGCCCACTATACATTTGACTAGCTAACAAATGTAACATTTATTTTGTCTTCTTTTAGACCATTTGGTCAGTCATCAGCCACACAAGTAACTTTGCCAAAAATAATTTTTTAAGGTGCAGGTTAACTGAAAGGGTTTTAAACTATAACCTATTAAATCAAGAGCATTTCAGATAATTGAAATGTTACACTACATTCAATCACAAACATTTTTTATTTCAGGAATGTTAAAATTATTATTTTTGTTGCAATCAATTAGCATTGCCCTAGACGCCCTAGTTTTTAAATAAAATTTGACTTATCAGATTTGTGACAAAAAAAAAAAAAAAAAAAAAAAATATATATAGATATATATTGGTTGAAGCTAGTCAGAAACAAAATTTCAAGTGTCTTTTTAGAGACAAAAAACTCAAGTTGACACTGTGAGAAGTAAATATTTAAAAACTTAGGCCAAAGTTTTAAGAGTCCCACAAGAAGTCATGTCTTAGAAAATGTTGTGAATGTGATCTGCCTCCATCAGAAGCCTGGCCTCTCCTTCCAGCTCATCATCTGTTTCTTCCTGTGTTAGCGGAGTCTTTAAAAATTTGAGTGTTGCCAGCAGCTGCAGCACAAGAAGACCAACACAGACTACGAAGATCAAGTGATTACCATGTAAGAAAACATCTTCGTGTAGCAACATCAGCACGGCACAGGAAATTAAGTTCAGCGGCACACGAAACCAGTTCATGATGGAGTAGCGATGGGTGTCAGGTATGACCCTCATCCTCAGCCCACTCATAGCAGGAAAATACATGCCGACACAGAACTGGAAAATCAAAAATGCAACAAGCGATGCATTGAGATGGCGTGTTCTTGGGTGAGTGGAATAGACACAGGTCAAAATGGATGCCAGGGCTAAAAGGTTGACGAAGAAAAGAATTTTTATGGCAGGGATGCCTTTAGAGGTAAGAATCTGGAAGATTGCTTGTCCTATCAAGATGCAAACCATGAAGCAGGAGAAGACAATGCCAAGGGATGGTTTCCCTTGCTCCAATATAGGTGTCCACAAAAATATGACAATGTAAACAACACTCTCAAATAAGGCTTCAATGGCCCCCACCAAAAATATACGTTTACTTGTGATAATATCTCTGAAACCATCGTAGCACAGTTTTCGGAACTTGGCCCTATGCATGGAATAGTTCTCATTCCAGTGGGTTGATATAATGACCCCAACAAAGATTAAAAATGGCACTGCCATCAGGTAAGGAGCTACAGGACCAAGGCCAATCCATTCTGAGAAGATGTTTGTGGTCACTCCTGCCATGACAGCAAGGACTCCATTCCACATGGATGCCCTTTGAAAGGTTATTGGGATCCATTCCTTTGGGAAATCATGAGTCTCTAAATGTTCATGGATGTACCAAGCTTCAAATGCTGTGAAGAGGACAGACGTTGCAAGGCCGCCAACAAGACGGCCCGATCAACAAAATCCCATAGCTTGTCGACAGTTTCAAAAGGCAGGACACAGAATAAGTGATAGTGAAAAAAACACACAGCTTCTTCCTTCCAAACTGATCTGCTGCAATTGGTGTCCATGCACCAAAAATAACAGAAGATGCAAAACCAAACACGTAGAGGACTGCAATTTGCTGTTCATCAAATCCATAGTAGCTGTAAAGCTTGTAAAGATAGGGCCCCTGAAGCCAATCTGCAAACATAGCCGTAAGGTACACGACAAAGTAGCCACGCTGAAACTTGATGAACTGTGGGTTATTGCCAACTGTGACATTTCTCCTGGTCCGATGTGCCCAGAACTGAAATATCAAACACAAGAAGGAGAGTGCTCCAAATGTAATGTAAGCCAAAATCATCATTTTCAAAGCTTCCGTTTATTCAAAGCATAATGCAAAAATCTTGAGTATCTTCAGCCATGATTCCACTGAGATCTGCATACACAAAAAAAAGCATTGGAATTACTAATTTCAAATTTTAATCATAACAAGAAAAATATTAAAAAATACTTTAAAAAATGAAACAACGTATATTAAGCTTAGTTATATCAATTAATTTGGATCAGTAATGTAATTAAATTTGTAATAGATCAAGACCAGTAATATCAAAAATACAGCTGGCCCGCCGAAATGTTGCCACAAAGTATAGTTAAAAATGTATCTTTCCTAGGTTAGGGTCCTCTCTTTTTCTCTGATGGATTGGTACCATGACCTTTAAATTTTGCACATTTATGAAATGGGAGAGCTCTGGGCTAGGTCTAGACTCCTAGTCCAGTGACTCTAGAACTAGATCATCTACTGATCTAGATTAAGCTAGTTGCCTAGTTATTAGTATGATCTACTGATTAGAGTCTAGTGAAGTCTAGGTGTATATTTAATATTATTATAATTATATAGACTAATTTATTAATTATAATCATAGTTTTAAAGTTTAGTAATACTACAATACTAACAGTTTAGTAAATAGTTATATCTATTATATATACTACAAAATAGTGTTTTCAGTGTTAATGAAGATTAAATTATTTATAAACTATGATTTTGTGGTTTTGATGTTGGTGTACCCCTAAAAGAGTCTCATCACATAATAAGACCTAACAAGTGATGTATATTAATATTATAACTAGATCTATATAGATACTTAAGAATACGACACTATTACTAAAATACAATAATAGATAGTTAATTTGAATGTAGAGTCTCACTCAATATTACGTTACAACTGTACTACTCAGTGAGTAGATCTAGTAGTCTGTACAACTACAACAATCATAATTTAACAATCACAATGAATGGCATGTACACAGTACAGTGTAGATCTAGATAGTATCTATGACGTCTAAGTATGTTTATGTACTGTTGTAGTTAATAGTATCAATTATTCAATATAAATGTTATGTTTAATTTAATGCTGGTACATTAACACTGGTAGTGGTACTCAGGTACTGGTTTACTACACTACGGTATAGGCCTACTAAATAATACTATATATATAATAATAATAGTATAATAAATAAATATTAATGTAAGTATAGACAGTATACTGAGTATATTGAGTGACTTGACTGAGTCTGTTAAAACTAGGCACTTCAACAAAAAAATTTTTTTTGATCATATTGTTTTGTAATTGATATCATTAAATAGAGCTTGGTGTCCCATTTACAAAAATATCAAATTTATGTTTCTATGATAAGTAGAAGCAAAGTTATGATTTTTTTTGTATTTATTTTTTTTTCCTTCTTTGGCTTTGTATTCAATAAAAAATTTTGGTACCCGAATTTTGACTTTTTGTTATTAAAGCATGCATATCTTTCTTATTATTCAATATTTTTGGTTCAAATTTTCAGAAG